ACCAAATCAACTTTAAGACAGACCCTTTCCTTAGTTGATCTGCCATACATTTTAAGATACTGTTTCTAGACTCTCTAAGGAGATAAAGATGTGGACATCAGGAATGGAGTGGTTTGCAAAACCTGTGTGATCATTTGGTACAGACAGGGGCACAAACTCATCAAGGGGAAAAGTTGTTCAGAAGACTGGACACTTGTTCTTGAGGAAAAAAAGAAAGAGTAAATCCCATAAGCTAATGTCACAGATACAGGGTTTACTTTTTAAATTTTCATGATTTTATAAACATGGAGATTACTCATGTTGTTAGAATGGATAAAAGAAAACAGCGCCTTACAGAAATATTAAATGTAAAAAAGTCAGTACATTTAAAAATACATTTTTAAATATATTTGCTTAAAGACAAGTATATAAAAGATTCCACTTCTTATTTTACTTCTTGAAAAATTCGGTAAGTCTGATCCATATTCATTCAGCTACATCAACATCTTTATGTATGCACAGTATAGAATCTGTCCCTCAATTTATCTTTAGCTGGAGCAACCTTTAAGTTCCTATTTTTGTCATTTATTTGATTAATCTGTATCACTGCCTTGCCATTTGATCAATTAATCTTAATTTCACTTGCTTTTATTTCTGCATTCACTTCACTTCATGTGAGTGACCAAGTCTGTCTCTAGCATTACGCATACATAGATTTTAATTTTCAGTTTTATTAGAACCTCTTATTATCTAGGATTAGCATCAGCTTCTGCTGTTTGCTTTAAGAAGCTTTGGTGCAGTATCAGGGATCACTGCAAAGAGCACCAGGAGCAATAACCACTGAAACATTGTATTTGAATTTATTCACTCTTCTGAGGTGCCGTGGTGTGGTATCACTGGGGTGCAGGGGCACACTCCTTGATTAACAAGATGTTGAAATTTGCTATAAAAAGTGCACAAGCCCAGCTCAAAGCTGCATTCGGTAGGTCACCAGTCATTTCTGGGACTGTGTGTGCCAGCAGCAACACAACCCCCTTCCTCCTCATCTGTCACATCTGTGACTCCACAAGGTCGGCAGGACCCAGCGCTGACTCCTGATGCAGGCTGACATTTACTCCTGGTTTTGTACTATGTGCCAGCTGGTTTGGCACTGAAGGTCGGTTTGTCTAACATATCCTGCATGAGGTGGACACATCTTTTTGAAATTCATCTGTTTCTGTTCAGTAGTTCAGCACAGAGCCTTTAATCAGTCTAGATTATACAAAGAGATGCATAGTGCAATACGCCATTCACTGGATACAATTATAATGATCAAATTTCAGCTGTTCCAGGCAGGTGATCCCTATAAGCCCTTTCCAAAGTGCCCCAGTATGCAGCATCATCATCTCAATTCAACAATTTCTTTATGTTGAATAATAAATCACACAAACGTACGTTCGCCTACTGACACGCGACACTAAATAAATTTGTCATTGGGCATCTTCCAGTCTCAACATCAGCGTACCTACTGCACACATCACCTAGTACAGGTGCTTTCCTAAGTGTCTTTCTGCATGCTGTCAAAGCTCCTCTTCCTTTTCACATCTTCACAAATCCTTTAGGTCCACTGTATATAACACTCTTGCAATGTAACGATTACAAACCCTGCTATGCTGTTCATTTGTTTGGAATATACCACATTAACTTCTAATGCAAGTAACTTCACACTCCTTTTAAGTCTGTGTCATTCTTCGTCTTACCTTGAAAATTCATAGATGATCTCTTTTCTTACTCTGCATGTAATTACGAGAAGTTACAAAATTCTTCACTGGCTTGTGTTGGGGTGGGGTCTCAGCACAGGAATCTGTGACCTCTTGGGCCGTTTTTGGATCACCTTACTTTTACTTGCAATATTGTTCTTCTAGGTATAGTCAGTGAGTCTGTGCAGTACTTCTCATGTGGAAGGTTTTTATAACTATTTTTAAGTTTAGCAACCTTAGCCTTTCCAGCTTTTCTGATGTTTTGGGAGTTTTTGTTCTTTTAAGTTTTTGACTGTAATTATTTTACAGCTTTCCACTGTAATTACATAATATTATGGTACAGTAGCTCAAGACTGATTGTTTAAGTGTCTGAGTAGGACATTTCATGAAAAATTACTTCTACAACCATAGCTTTGTACTTGACATTTCTATACGGAAGCCATTAAGCAAGAGATTAATTCTTTTCCTCTGGGCTCAGGGCAGTTCTCATCTGTGTGAGCGATCCTATTGACTACAAAAGGACTTTTCATATCAGTCATGATTGTAGGACTGGACTCTTGTCTTCATATTTTAGAGACAATTTAAGGCCTGTTCAGCAGCAGCTGCTTGTGGCATGGAGTGGAATACACATCCTGTGCCAAGTGGTCAGGTTCGCATAGCTTATTGCTATCCCACTCCAATGAGAACCAAAAAGCCATCTTGTTTGTCCTTGCCATCACTCTTCCTGCAAAGCAACAGATGTCAGAACATGTTGTGGAATAAAAAAAGAACAGAGCAACATCACATGAAATATCTTTTTTCTTTTTTTTTTTTTAAGTAAGCGCAAGAAACTTGAGTTTGCTGCTGTTCCAGTCATTGTTTCATAGTTTTGCTAATTGTAATAAATGTTCTGAACTTTCATGAACTAGCATCTAAATAACAAAGGGTTTCTTCACTCAGTATTACCACTGGAAAAATCTACGGATTAGTTATAAAGTATCATTTGTAAGTATCTGCCAATTATTTTGCAATTTGAAGTCTCTGATTTTTTCATCTTCCATCTGATTCACTTGTGGGGATTGTCTTTTTCATAGGCCATTCACCGTGTCAAGAGCAATGCTCGGGAAAGATATTGTACCAATGAGAATTAGAGAAAACCTGCATTTCCTCAGTGATTTCTAGGACTTCATTTCTTCTACTAATAAAGATTTAGTCATAAGCATTCTCCATGCAAGTCCATCTTTATAAAAGGACATTGTTTTGATTATTTAGAACCTGAAGTCACAAAGGGCACGCTGTAATTAGATTTACTTCGGTAGGAATTAAAAACACATTGTAGTAGTCAGAATCCCCAGGGGAAGGTTTCTAATAAGGTGTCCATTGAATTTATTCATATGTGGAAAGAACAGTCAATAGTTGAGGTATGAAATGTCAATAAAAATAAAAAAATATTAGCATTCATTGTATGTTACAGTGCATGGCCTTGCCAGTTAGAATATTGCAGCTTTGTTTCACAAAGCTTCTATGTGCTTTTAAAAATATAATCTCTAAAGGAAAACAGAATTACTCTGTTAAAAACAGAGCTCCCTAGTCATGAAAATGGGTAGTTTAGTATAAGATATAATCTAATATATATATTTTTTAAAAACTATCTTATAGAAGTGAAAGGTAAATATCTGTAATGTTTTTCATTACCATGAATGCAGATGAGAAGACCATTTTATAACGTTCATGCGTGTGGGGATTTGTTGGCATCCTAATGGTGGCAGAGGCCACTCAGCTGTCTGCTTGCTATTTTATCTTCTGCAATGGCTTGGATAAAAGAGAGCAATACAGAAAGCATTAAGGCAGAGAAAATACGGCAGAATGTTGTTCCATTACCTTGATGTCCTCTTCAATAAACTTCTAATTTATGCATAGATTCCTGTGGTACCCACCAGTCCTGAGTTCACTGCCAACTCCTAAATCAGTGGCAAAGGGTGAAGTTTTTATTTGCCAGTTAGTTCTTCAGGGATGATACCATCTGCTTCCATAGCCCCCCAAAAAACACCAATAGCAATTCAGCATAAAAGTGCCCTTAGATGGGATAATTTTTCCTCAGGGGCTGCAGTGTTACAACGCACATGGCATAGGATCCAGTTTCATGTCTGTTCTCTGATAAGGAAGTACTGCCTGGAAGCCATCCAGGCATCCTTTACATAGGGAGAGTTATGTGTCTTTTCTCTTGCTGATCAGCCATCAACAGGAGTGTGTTCCTTCTAGCCTCTTGCTCTAAAATTCATTATGCGAGTGTTGACCTGTATTGATTGAATTGGACAGTTGGATTGGACTTTCTTCAGCCTGTTGTCTCCTCACTGTTCAGTGTAGATCCCTTTTATCCACCTTCCACCACAACTTCAAGGAATCAGTGAGCAACATTTAAATCCTGAGAGCAGTCAGTGTATTTACTGCATTAGAAACATGGTCTTCCTGGTAGTGAAAAAGACAACTGCTTAGTTTCCAGTACAAAATTCCTGCTTATAAATTTAAAATGTACTTTTCATGAATATTCTCTAACACTAATTTTAAATATCTCATTTGTTTTCTGTATTGTCTGTGGAAAAGGTTGAGTTAATTCAAGTAAATTCCACATGTTTATTCATGGAATAAATGGAAACATGGCAAACATAGCAAATTATTTGTCTATGAGTTAAATTACCACTGTGAGACAAAGTTTAGGAGTTTTAAATGCTGCTGTAGAAAAGCAGATGTTTAACTCCCAACAGCTGCTCTGTAGCCATCCACTGTCACCTTTCTGCCTTTCTTTAGCCAGCACCTATGAGACTGCAATGAATTGAAAAGTTTAGCTAACTTTCAAATGTGAGTTATTTCACATGGAGTACTGAGACTACATTAAACATGTCTGCAGGTTTCCAGGGTCCCTTTCTTTTTCTGTTATATGGGTTTATTTAGTAATGAACAGAATTTTTTTTTTTTTAAATGGAGTTTGTGCATGACTGTCTGCCATGCTCTATATCTATCTACATGTCTATCACATTGTCTGTTTCTCATCTAGAGTTCATTTTGGGGTGAGTAAAGGTAAATGTTCTTTGTTTACAGTACCCATTTTCTGTGCCTTCCATAGCTTTGCAATTGCGGAAGCCAGACCGCCTACATTCACACAAACACAGAGGCACGCAAACACACACACGTGGTCCAAACATCTTCATCATTGCTTGTCCTTGTACATTGCTAATCTCCTCAGTTTTTTGAGCATGGCATGATGGTTCCTGTCATTCACAGTTGGTTTTATTCGTCCTTCAGGTCTCCCGTAATGGCTGGAGGTCTATTTGCCGTTAACCGGAAATGGTTTTGGGAGCTGGGAGGCTATGATCCAGGATTAGAAATATGGGGAGGAGAGCAGTATGAAATCTCCTTTAAGGTAAGTCGTCAAGTCACCTTATATGATAGTTCCTTACTTGTTTGGTACAAGACTCAGTCTTACACCTCTGGATTTTCATTTCTCATATGCTTTGTGATTATGATACTTTCGTTCATACTGGTGTTTGTCTTTTAACTAAAACTAATGTAGTACAATACTACTTTTTCCCCTTAGGAATTTCCACTAATTTCACAGAGAACTATGCCATAAGCGTATGGCTCCAGAAGCCATACAAAAATCACACTGAGTGCAGATCCCTCTGAAAATCTCGTAGCTTACCACTATCATAGAATAAAGTTCTACTTTGTCCCTTTTGTCAAGTTTTCTCCACTTACCTTCTCTCTGGCACTGCATTTACTTCATGCTCAAGTGTTGAGCTCAGCTCAATAAGCCAAGAGAGAACTAATCCAGAAAAAAAGAAAATTGCATAATTTTCTGCCCAGAGCAACAGGTTTAATAATCTCTGGGGGTAGGCTGCCCTGGAGCCAACTCAGGGAAATGAGTGGAAATGGAAAGAGAAAGTCATAGGAAGAACTCCTTTCAGTAGCAGTGAATCACTAGATCAGCTCAGCTGCTATGAGCTGTTATCTACTGGCCAAATTTTGAAAATCAGATATTTTTTTAATTGCATTTGAATAATTGTAATGACAAAATATATGGGGAGTTTTCGAGTGCTCAAGTTATATACAGCCAGCCATGGTATATCCTCTATGTCAGGATGTGTATTGAAATCAGTTACTTGGCTTTTACATGTCGAGTTGAAAGTCTCGTTACTTTCCACATGTTAAATAGGTATTTGAATTAGTTTGATGAGGACTAGCACGTCTAATTTTGAAAATTAAGTTTATTATGTTCCAGTACACCCAAAGACATAAGAACTCTACATGCAAAGATTTTCAATGACTTGATAGAATTTCATAACATACATGAATTGGGTCAAGCGTATTTGGATAAAGCTTGGAAGTTAAATTAGAATTCACGTTTAGCTTCAGGATCTTTCCAACCTGCTTCCAAACTCTGACAGTGTAAAGCTCAGTAAATAAATTTAGTATGTCAGCCATGACTAGTATCATACATCTTGCTGCATCTGAGTTTCAACAGCAATTAAAACAACAGAGCTGAGGCTATTCTGTTAAACAAAACATACAGTGTGACCCAACAGTGGACTGCCAGGCTGTCTTTACAGGAGTTATCAAGAACAGCAAAACGGTTTGTATTAACTGTGCTACTCTCATGTTTCTCTGAATCGTTTTTATACCGCAGCAAAATAAAACAGGAAGTCAGGGGAAACCCAGTAGCTAGACAGTGTATTTAGAATATATTGATTTACCTTCTGTCCATTTAGGTTGTTTCAGAGGCAAATGTAAGTAGTCACTAGTAGCTGTCACAACGGTCTCTGACAGGTCACCCAAGATTTTATTATACTATTTCAAATATTCCTTTTATTCGTCATCACAAAGAATATACTTGTAATGCTCTCCAGTCTTTGTATAGAAACCATGGTAACAGCACTGGAAATTGAGATACTAGATTGCCCCAGTGTTTTCTGCTCAAGGGATAGATTTTTTTGGAGGCAGCTGTGTCACACGGTCTCATTTCAGTCATATCTCCTGATTCATCTTATTAGTATATACTGACCTTAGGGTCCCAGTCCTTTCTTATTAGTGTTAAAAGAAGAAAAAAAATACTCTTTAGAAATGATTGCGAAATAGGAACAACTTTCTATTGGAAGCATTTAACAGATGTAAGTTTTAAAAAGACGACTGCTGTTTTGTTTGGAATGACAAAAAATGGGAGAAAAATCATGGAGGTGGGAGGGAGAAACAGAAAGGACTGGTTTTTATTATAACAGAATCACCAGTACCAGCTTGGGAAAGGTTTCTACTTCAACAGTTTCTACTGTAGCTATAGATTCAGTCATCTTAAAACTTATTTCAATGAGGACAAGTTAGGCAGACAGTTTAATTTACCGGCTTTATTCACAAAACTTGGGAAAATGGTGGACTTGCCATCTCTCTGATATTCACAAAATCAGTGAAAAATTCAGCTGACCAGCCTAATTCAGTTTCCTCAGCTGCCTGAGCGGGTCTGAAACTACATCTTACCTTTCTTTAGAGCGTCCACATCTATGGCCTGTGGAATTGCCATAGGATGGGTGCCCTGTGTTGATGCCATGTCTCACGTTAATGGTATTTTGCTTGGCAAACAATTATTTGGAGTATCCTGCCTCAAGAACATGTCTAACCACCAGACATTTAGCTGTTCTCACTCATTTCTTCTTTGACTCCATTAGTTCTTAATATTTTGTAAAAACACGACTGGTTTTCATTAAAAAGTTGTAAAAAGCAGCTGATTTGAAATACCTTGTAATTGTGCAAAGTTCATATTTAGAGGACAGTTTCAGGCTGATCTTTAACCTCAGTGACAGACACGGTGTTCCTTTTATGTTCTTCATATATCACCTTGGTTTTAACTTTGAGATTCATTTGTACAAAAGCTTCTATATAATGGTAAATAAGTAAACAATCTAGCTACTATAAACAGAGACCATGCTGATGACACAACCTTCCCAGGGTCAGACTGGGGATTCTTGTGGCTAATTGAAATACAGCGATGTAATTTCGAGGGGGTGAATGCCGGAGCGAGAGCTGTCATGTGCTCCCTGAAATGAAGTAGTGTCTGGTTCATCTTTAACTGGTTGCCCGGCTCTGTGAGCTGGAGTGAGGAGAGTTCGCAGATCATTTCTGCTCCTGTACTCTGTTGCATTTTAAACTCCATGGATCGACAGACTACTGTAACCCTTCTGCTTAACAGTTTAACAGTAGGTCCAGGTACTGTAGAATAGACAAGCTGTGGCATGTGTCTCTAATTAGCACCGCTGTTTTGATGCAGAGGTAAACTTACAGGTATGTTAAGGAAGATTTTTGATAAACGTGTGTCAAATATCATGTTTGTATGTCCAGATTCACTGGTGGCAAACGTGGAATCATGGTTAAGAAACAGTATATGTTTGATATTCTCTGGCCTAATTTTATTTGGAGAAGAATTTCCTATATGTTGGAATGAAACTTCACCCTACAGAAACATTTGCATGCCAAGGGGAAGAAAACGCTTGATAATCAATATCCTATTAAGGAAAAGCATCTTCTCCACCAAAAACCTCTGCATTACTGTATCAGAGACATCCACAGTCACCTCCACAACTCAGGTTACAGGAGTGTTTGTTACAAAGCAAGTGGGAAGCCACGAGTGCAAAGTGTGGCCTTAGAGAGTCAGAGAAATTGGATCTTTCAGAAAAGTATGATGGCTAGATCTGTGCTAGTCAAGACTCAATAAAATAGTTTGTCTAAAGTCCTCTGACTTCAGGAATTATTAGCTTCTTCATCATGAACTTAATATCGACTACTTTGCTCACTGTAATCTTCTACTGCACTTTGCAAACCCCAGACACGCAATGAATGAACGTCTGGTGCTGGATCAAGGGCCAGCATGCAAGCTCAAAGGAATCGCTAATAATAGCAAAGCCATATTGCTTTATGAGTTCAAGATACTAAGACAGAGTTCAAGGACTGATTAAAAATTAGATTAGCAGGACAAGTGGTTGCCCAGGGAGCCAGGCAGCAGTTCCTGACAAGAAAAGGTGGAACCAGATTTAGGAAAGATACTCAGGCTGGAAAGCTTGGAGGGAAAGGGTCGATTTTGATGTTTCTCTCTGGCTGCTTCACTAGACGTGACCGGGGGTGACAGACACCAGGCTTCAGTGCAGAGCACAGTCCTAACCAAAAGTCTTTTTCTGAGGTGGAGGTTGCATTATCTTATTGTACTGGGGCAGAAGGTGGGTGGTGGGAGCAAAAATATATGTTTGTGTGTGTTTGGGGGGGAAGGGTCTTCGATGGAAAAAGAAAGATACTAGAGAGAGTGAGTCCGCAGTGAATCTCGATTTGCTGCAGCATAATTCAATAAGTTTCTCCAAAATACAGTACACTTTATAATGTTTCTGTGACATTTGGAATTGTGCCATAGCAGGAAAGGAAACTTCCTCAAACTTCAGGCATGACTGTTCCAGGTGCTGAGTTGTCAGGAACACAGAGACACGGGTTAAAAAAAAAAAAAAAAAAGCTGCTGCTTAAAAATTTGCTTGACCTTTATTTCCTCAACTACAAAAACCAGTGTATTTCTCTCTTGTTCTTTTCTGCTTGGAAACATTGCTGCAGAGAACAGCAGCAAGCATAGCACTGAGTGCCGTGCTGATTAACTGCTGTTTCCAAATCAGAGCACACGCATGCACTTTCAATGGATGGTGAGGCAGCCACAACCCGTGTCTCAAAATATGACCTCTTCATTAAATATTTTCTTAGGTTAATTTTTTACATAAGAAATAATGTGCAGCATTTTAATTTTTTGGCAGCATAACCTCAGGATCAATTTTTTAATTAAAAAGATGTATGATATCTTGCTGACGATACTGTTCAGCGTGTGCTAGACTTGTGAAAGCTGGCAAAGCGCTGGAACTGACCTGATTAATAGCGTCTCTTCTCAATAACCAGGGAAGCCACTAATTAGGAAATCCTAAATTTGAATCTGTTAGAAAGGCAGAGTTTATGTAGTAATCTCCAAAATAGAGAGCAGTGAAAGATACTAATTTCCTGTGTTTGCTGAAGATCCTTTACGCTGCACATTCCTTAGGCATTGTAAATCATACCTTATCAAAAACGCTAATGGTGCTACCCTAGCTAGTTACCTATATCTAGAGTTGGTTTATCCTTATTCACGCTGACACATCTTCCAGTATTACTGAAATATCCGCAGTCGTCAGTTCCCAGTTTACACGGTACAGTTTTAATATCCCTGATAGGAAATCCCACTGTGCCACAAGTGAATGGTTTTGCACTTTGTGAACCCATTGACTGCAGATTTGCCGTCGGTGATCCTATTTTTCAATTTTTTCTTGCATTTAGCTGAACGTTCTCACTACGTGGCAAAGTTGACAGGAAAGTATTCTTCTTTCTTCTTTTCTACAACTGCCAAATCTGTTCTTTTAGCTTATATTTCAGGAAGAGTGACTGAAAAATCCCATAAAGTTTTTATATTCTTATTTTCTACAACTTTTGCAGCCCCATTGTGGTAATTCATTTCTACTGTTTGTAGTCTATACTTCTTGCACAATGCTCAGAGCACCAAGCTGACAGCTTTGCATGGCATACTTTATATTCCTTTTCCACCAGTTTACTGTTTGTTTGGTTTTTCCATCCATTTCGGTGTCTCTTGCTGTTGTCTGTCTTGTTAGCGACTCTCCGCAGCAGCATGTTTCTCAATTAGTTTTGAAGCCTGATCCAAAATCCACTCAGTCCCCCCTCAATCTTTTACATAATTTGCTGTATGTTTATGCTCCTGTTCCACAGCAACACATCCTCCACTTCTCAAAAATCATGAGTCTCTTACTGCAGTAATTATAATTACAGTGTAGCATATGGATTGGAGTCTCATTCTCGCATGCACAGTATTTACATTTGCCAGATAGTCTCTGGGCTGGATCACTCATAAACTACCTAGATAAGGCAGGGGAAAAAACCCCACAAGATTCCAAGCAGAATTCAATTTTAAAGACAAAGAAGTGATGTGAAAAGAGGGTGATTCACCCAAAATCCCACAAGAGCTGTAGAACAGAGCCAAAAAATGCATCTGTAACATCTAAGCTCCAGTCAGGAAAAAACCACATAACCACAGCTTAATCTCTTTTAAAGCTTGTGTTCAAGCTTGCCATTTGCTTTCAACCATTCCTATAAAGTGTTTTGCAACATTCTGTTGGAAGGAGCTATATAAAGATAAATTGTGATATAGTATATAGTTGACACATAAACTACTCTTCTTTTGATCTTTCCAAGCTGAAATTGCATTGGTTTGGTTTCATCTTTGGTTTTTATACCTCAGCTGCAGACCAGATTCATTGCCTTTGTAAGAAGGAGACATTAGCGATCTTGAGAGTTTCATTGCTTGCTCCTTAGATAAACAGAGGGGCAGTGGTGGTGTGATACCATTTCGCCACGTGTCCCGCACCACCTGAATTCCTTTTGTGGTACACTGGAGGTCTGTAATATTTAACACAGACATCATTCTCCAATTTCTTGCATTTAGCGCAGGTGACATAAAAATGCACATTTTAAAGACCAAGTTGCCAGAATTGATCTTCCCAGGAAAATATAAAAAATGCTTTTAAAATCATTCTGAAGCTGAAAGATAAACAGGAACAGCTGCTAAATGTCCTTCCAGGCAGCCTAAGATTCATTTCAATTACCCTGCACAGCACACCTCAGGTGCAGCACAACATTTTCAAGTTTTATAGCTATCAAATATAAGACTAACACAAAGTGTTATTTCCTCCCACTTGTTATTGCCTCAGCATATCTGACAGGTTTTTTTTCTAATTCCTTTTCTCCTTTTCTTTTCATATTTCTTTTACTGATATCCTGCTGCTTTAGAGGAAATGCAATATATGTCTACTTCAGCTCTCATTGTCTGAGTTAAAGTGATACAGGCCTATATATGTATTTTTCTGCTTTCTTGACTTTTAACTTTGTTCTGTGGGTGACCTTCGTCTGAGTAAAACTCCTATGCTGTCCACTCTTCAAAGGCTAAGAAGCCTTGATTAATCACTGTAATATCTTGTCTAACCTTTGAAATAACACCTTAATTTAAAAAACAAGAACAAATAGCAAATATAGGTTTGCACTTTCATTAATGCACAGGGTTGGTTGAAGACAGCCACAGAGAGGAGATTTCCGCTAAGAAAAGGTACAAATGACATAACATACAAAGTATTGGCAGAAAGGTGAATAACTTTTTTTTTTTTTTTAAATGGTGGCACTTCCCACCTGATTTTAACGTTATCATTTTTATGATTTTGAATACATTTGTAAACATGTTTTTCAGTGGATTAGGTGACATGGGATTAGACAGGTGAGGATTTCAAGGTTTTCTTTAAGAAGCAAATTTTACAAAATATTTTTGAAAAGAAAATAATGATCATATCTACGTGGCGTAGTAAGACTGCTCTGGGCTGCAATGAGCTATTTTGGCATGGGGAGGAAGCGCTCACTTGGGTCTCCATTTCCAACCCACCAGTAAATTTCCTCCCTGAGAAGGACTGTGCTCACTAAAAGACCAGACAGGATATCCTCACCGCAGCAATAGGTACTGAAATACTCTTGATTCTGACCTACGTGCTTCGGCAGAGTGATGCCCAGGACAGCTGCCTTTATTACCCTGTGCCTCTAACCTGCAAAATTTGTCTCCTCTTCTGAGAAGCTAGTGTGCACCAGAAGCACCTACCCAGAGCCTCCTGTGCCTTAACTTAGTTAAGAGTTAACTAGCTGTGTTGGGAGGTGGTAAGTAGCAACTTCCCAAGTAGCTCTCAGCTGTACCCGACTGTGCCCGGGTGTCCGTGGAATTTCAGGACAAAGCCAAGCATGTCATCTTCCCCCACCTTTGATGGTTTCAAACCTTCCTTAACAATTTACGCTAGTGTACATAGGTTTATCCTGTAATGTGGTGTAGATCCTCAAACATTTTATTATCAGGTGTCAGCTGGGTGCCATACCTAACAGCTAAGGGACTGTAAGGGCTCATACACAAGTGACCCATAAGAAGCAGGTTCCTAAATCCCTTTGGAACTCAAGCCTTCACTCTAAAGCCCCTTTTTTCTCCCTTCACGGTATGAATAGCACAGTCAGTCTCAGGGGCTGAATTCCAGCATGCCACCTTCAGCAAGTCCTTTAAGTCACACTCAAGCACTGAGTTATTCCATATTGCAGTGTTTAGCATCTGCATGTTCAGATTACTAAAATTTAATCCCAAACTCACAGCTACACTGCCAAGACCAGGCAGATATACCCACTGTAACACAAACAGGCGAGCACAGTGGAAGAGGCCAAACCCTTGCCTATTTCCACTATTGTTTTAAATGAACAAAATTAATCATTTTGTTTTCCTGTGATTTCAAAAAGCTAGTAGCTACAGCCAGCTGGTGGGCTGGACAAAAGAGTTGAAATGAAAAATTCATGGTAAAAAAAGTGTAGAGATGTGCATTGTTCTCTGCAGGCTTCATGCAGAATGTCAAGTATTTGTGATCACATCATATTTTCTGATACCTTTTTTTTAAGGGTCTGGTTACTGTTGTTTTAATTCAGAGTGTATAAACTTTTGGATTAATTCCTTTCTGTATGGAAGTTGTTGGTGAAATTTTCAGTTGTCACTGTTCTGCTCTGCTTTAGCCTCAGTCACAAACTTATTTCACGCCACTTTGCTCCAGAGTGCATCAAATACAGATAAAATTCCTTCATATATGTAACGCATGGACCTAAATTCTCATCCAGATTCATGGAGGCGGTTCATGAAGCATCTTTATGTATGTCCACATAAAGAGGCATGGAAAGGACAAGCCATTTCCCTTTCTTAGCTTGGGTGATGTTTTCTTTTAAGTTGGGTGGGAGGTTGTTGGGGGTTTTTTTGTCTTCAGTCTAAAGGCTGAAAGCTGAGACCACAAGTGTCCCTTACGTGGAATAGGAACCATTCCGTTCTAATATTTGTGGGGAACAAAAAACTGTTTTGCCAGGATTAGGAAATAATTTTTATAATACCGATGTTTTCAGTCTAAATTAGTTTTAAACTCTTGCTGTGTGGTTGGTTTTAGGATACTTAAAGAGTTCTGCTTGGGGATTGTGGGGGGCGGTTTTGTTGTTGTTTTCCATTTCTCTGATTTGCAAAATCAAATTGCTGTTTTTGAAATCAGAAAGTTGTGAATGTTGTCAGTACACTACGTAAATCATCTAATAGCCATGTTGGAGTTTGGTGGTTCTGCACTGTCAGAGCAGAGAAAATCATGCCCGTAGGTGTTACTGGCAAGGTTGCCATAGTTCCTCAGCCATGGTACGCAACCTTTCTGTCACGTACACTTGGTAAAACAAAGTCATGCTAGGTGAAGAATTGTGAAGAATTCCTTACTTGCTGCCCATCAGGATACAGCTTGATTTTTAGAGCCGTGAAGTACTTGCAGCTCCCATCAATGTTGACTGAGTTGTGGTTGCTCAGACCTGAAGCATCAAACCTGTGTACTCCAGATGGTTCCGTCTGTTTCAGTATTAAAGTACCAATGATGAAATGTAGCAGCATGATCTTCCTTTTCTGCCTACATAAATTTGATCAGAAGGAGATTGATTTTTGTTCCTTTTTCTTTACAAAATGAAGCACGTTTTAGTATTTGAGCTCTGTATTCACTATTCAAAACAAAATATAAGCCAGGTGTTTTGGAGAAAAATTTTTTTTACTTCCAATTGATGGCTTGCTTTACTCACATAAGCTTCTTTTGTAATTTTGGTCCCATATGTTTTAAACAACAGCCACAATAATATCTTGGTTGTGTTGCAGGAGCATCATTGGTAGATATTCTAAATATGTTTTATGATTTTATTTTGAACATACTCTGCTTTTGCGCGGTGAGATTCCGGGTAGGGGAGTCTGCCATATTACCTAATCCCAGCTATCAGCATGCCGAAAAGGCCACCACTATGACTGTGGGAGGGGTCAGTACAGGATGATGTGTCGTTTTCACATACCCATTACTTAAAATGCCTTCTTTGCCCCATTTGTTTCCAGGAATCATTCTTTCATGTGCTCTTTCCAGGTGTGGATGTGCGGAGGTGGCATGTTTGATGTTCCATGTTCTCGAGTTGGGCATATCTACAGGAAGTACGTCCCGTATAAAGTTCCTTCTGGAACCAGCCTAGCACGGGTGAGTAATTGGGTCTTGCTGTTTTTCATTTTTGTTCATCACCAGTCTCTTAATTCCCTGTGAACTAGTTTCCAGTACACCATTAAAATGGAAAATGAATGTTTCTTTATTTTTCTGAAATGAGATGTGCCATTGCTGCAGTTATGCTGCCTTCCAGAGATAAGATTGCCAGAATAAAATGAAAGCTTAAAAATACAGGGTTGGACGTTTCAGCACAGAAGTGTGTTTCATGCTGATTCAAAAGAACCTAGGAATAACCTAAGGCTTACGGTTCTCAAATTGCACAGTGTTGTCAGTCATAGTTTTTGCAAGCAGGACCAATTTGAATGCACATTTTCTTATCAGTCAGCAGAACAGGCAGAATCTCGCAAAAGGAACATTTTCTGAGGCAAAAGGACTGAGTAACAATGATTTGAGTGACTGTCTAATTATTGTGTAAAATCTGGTTGTGGAATACAGCCAGCTTGGAGCCGTGTGAGTGAGAAATTACAAGACCTCTAGACATTTCACAAAGAATACTGAACACATCCATATCCGTAAGAGGCTTTTTGCTCAAGAGAAAATGTTCTGTAACTTTCTGGGGATGTTCATGCGATGTCAAAAGATGGGAGACAAAGGGCACAGATGTAGCTTCCAGGCAGATACTAGTATTTGTTCATGCTTGAGTTTAATCTCTTCTGGTTTAGAGGATTTTTTTTTTTTAATAAAATGGCATTAATATTAAAGTCTGCATATTGCCATAGGGTAATATTTTATGAATCATATTTTCTCTTAATAATGAAAATGTGTTATGAATAAAAGAATAAATTTCTTGCTCTAAGGGGGAGATATTCTTGGTTTCAGCACCACAGGACAAGGCTTGCTGTAGTAACTGCAGCAGAGGAAAGAGGCTGCCTGTACTGCCTGCCTGACAGCTGGCTAGACAAAGATTTGCCTTAAAAGAACATCCGTGCAGACAGTGAGACACACGATACAGTAATGGGATTAGTGGTGGTGTTAGTGGTGGTGATAAAAACTGTATTGACTAAATTGTGAGATTAAAATCTTCCCCCAGTATAGCTCTATGTAGTATCAGTATCAGTTTCCCCATCCAGATTTTTGCACTGACTGAAATAAACTGCATTTATGGTGTCCCCTGCAAAAATCACACACAACTTGACATAAGAAATCCAAACCTTAGTCTCTGTTTTTCTCTATTACAGCACAAAGTAATCTCATTAGAGAACATGCTGTCTCGTGCATTACCTATAGGAGAAAAATACAGTAATTTCTATTTGGACTATTAGCGTCTCGTACAGTTCGACACTTAACTTAGAGCCATCAGGTAGCCACAGCCTGCAGCCTCCCTATACTATTTATTCTAGCTTGATTTCAATAAATCACTCGTGAAATACTAAATAATCCCAGTTATAAAAATGAAAGCTCTGCCCATGCACAGACTGACTGCCCTATATCTTGTGGGAAAAGTTCTAGTGTGCTGGTAGGGTGGGTCATATCCTTCCCATTCAAATAATGGATAGTTTCTTCTGTGTTGTGGGGGTCCAAAACATGATGCTTAGGTAAATTTCTGGCATATATTTATCACTGAATGAAAATTCTCAGGTTCCCAGTTTCTTTCCAGTACAAGATTTTAAACCAAAACATTGCTGTTAGGATACATTGCATCAAGGCTGCCAAGAGCACAAGATCTTCTGTATGTTTTAGTGTTTGGGGCTATCTCAAAAACTAGCCAAGGGAGAGAGTTTGGTCCCTGAGCCGTCAAACTGTGTGTATTATTAGGCCTAGAACTATTCTCTTTCTCTCATCCAAGCCAGAAAAGGAAAGGCGAGGACATGTTCATCTTCAGCATGTCAATCCCTTTGATACAGACCACTTGTGGTTCCAAATAAACTGCCCCAGATGGAGCCGTTAGCCAAAATAATACTAGGGGAATATGCACAGAAGTGGCCTGGATATTTCAGATATCTTTGCATTATCCTCCAAACATTATGTTATATCCTCCAAAGATTATAGTCTACCCCTTATGAGTATTTTATCTAAAACTTCCCTCTAGTTCAAGAATATAATGAATAACACACTCAAGAATATCTGGAAGTATTATCCCTGCTGCCAAAAGCAATACTTTTCACTACTAAGTAGTTTCCACAAAGGTTTTTACTAAATCCTTTTCCATCTTCTGCTGTGTAAAGGAGGATGCTGGAGATGCAGTTCACAAAGGAATGAGCCCTAGGAAGTCCAGCTGTGATTGTATAAATGATTGCAAGAGCCCCTTCATTAATCAAGGGAGAATTTCCCCTTATTCAGATACTGTGTTAAAGAATGACAGATTTTCCCATCTTATCCCCCAGCAGCAGCACGAGGGATATGGAGACTGGAGTTAGGAAGAGGACAGAACTCCTAGACAAGCACAGTCATAGCCCAAATCATGCCATGGGTTTCCTTTCAAGCTGTTTCATCTTATGTTTGCCCTTAACAAATAATGCTTCAAGTTGGCATTTTACCTTCCCTTGGGATTTCACCTCTCTATATCTTTTAGCAGCAAGTTTCAACACAGTTTTCAGCTAGCTACATAATGCCTGACCAATCTAGATATCTTTTTAAAGAGGTGTGACCTGGCATGAGGATCACATATGCTTTATTAAATGAGACACTTGTCAAAAACACTGTTCTTCCTCCCCATCACTAAATAACCACTAGTGTACCACACACAATAGTTTATATCGTGACATCAATTTTCTGTGTCCTTCTTACCGTATTTCTTACCTTCCTATCTGTCACTCAAGACCTGCAAGACCTATGCATGTATTTTGCTGACACATACCCCATAAATTGAAAAGCACGCACATGTGAAATGCTCTGTCAGTAAAACTGGTGATACAGAGCAAAAGTAAAGCAAGCTGTAAATATGTGTAGTAGATTTATAAAACAGACTGTGACAACCAAATGCAGATAAAGCTGAGTATTTTTTTCCTGGAGATGTCTTAAGATGTTGTGGCTTGCCAAATGTAGTCAGTGTCCAATTTACAGGTAATTGCACATAAAGCAAGATTAATGGGCATGCAGATGTCAACACTGATTCCACATTATAATGTGGAAGCACCACATAATTATTCATTCATTCCAAACCTGTCAACCTCTGCATAAAACTGCAGTGACTAATAACTGATTTTGCATATTTGTTTTAGGTAAAACATATATAGAGAGCGAATCCCCAAATCTTGAAGTCCTATGCAAGATGTTGCCCTATTAAAAACTTCTGGATTGTTTTACTGGACTATTTTAGTTGCTTTGTGGTACTATTGACTGTTGCTTCATTTTTACCAGTTCTAGCTAGGCCATTTTCTTTTAGCCAGTTACCTATGAAATTAGACTTTAAAATATTTTTAGGGTACTTCAAGTACCTACGTATCTTGTAGACGTATCCCAGTTCGTTATTTATTTTATTTCTTTTTCCTGTTTGGGGCGGGGGGGGGGATTTTTTTTCTTTTACGGGGGGGATTTTTTTTCTATTCATGATTCTATAAAAGCCATAAGAAATTTATCAGTAAAAGCTCACTGTTCCATAGGATATGCAGAGATGAACTCAGAATTTCAAAATATATCTACAGAAATTTTTTTCATTTGCAGGTATTTTACACATCATTTTAGCATTAACTACAGAACATAAGAGCATTAGGCCTTTCTGAAGGGAAGGGCAATCCCACTGAAGTTCAAGTCTGGATGCTAAACCCAGCAGCGTGGTGAATCCTAATCTTAAGTTGAATTCCTCCCTGCACGCCAGGACATGGGATCCCAGAGCACAGTGATCCTCTGACCCAGCAGGCACAAACACGATGACATTTGCCTCATTACACAGTGTCGCTGAATTGGAACTTGCACGAGTTTGGGTTCAGGAACTCAGCTGATAAAGGTGGGTTCAGATTCCCACCTGAACCATTTGCTCAGCCTTTTTGTGTGGCTTCAAAAGTGATCTATAAAGAAAATTTCTGTAGCTATACCATCTGGTGCTGTGACCACGTTTGCATTTTTGACAGAGCTTCCTTTAATATTATGACTGTTTGTTTAATTTTTTTCCAGCTGCAAATAAAGTTTGGGGTTTTCTTAAAGCAGCTCATGAACATTTTCTTTTCCCTTTCCAGCCAAGTTAAAGAACCAAGGAGAATCAGTTAGGTAATGGCTATGTTTTCTCGAGACCGGAGTGCAAACTGACAGATGTGGCATGCTGTTAAGGGAGCACTGCTGGCTCTTTTGCTCTTTAGTACAGAAGACTGTAGCACAAAGTCAGTTATGATTCAGCAGTCACAGTAAGCAGCTGAAACATCAGCTCAGAGTAAGCAAATTTTTTAGGAATCAAGCAAGAGTTGCCTTCTTGCAACAGCATAGTTATAATAGATGATGATTATGATTATACAATACAACTTTTAAGTTTTCATTCTAACTTTTTTCATTCAATAGATTTATAAATTCATCATTAAAATTAATTAAACCAAGATCTCAAACAGAGCACTTACCAAAGAAAAACTTCAAAATAATATCTTCTAATCCTTGAACACCAGAAAGTCAAAGTAATTCTTTTAAATGCTAATTTTTTATATTTTCTCCAATATGAACAGAAGTTTTGCTTTTAAGATAATAAATGCAACAGGACAGCCAGCTTAACTATCCGAAAGGAATACAAAGAAGATGGACAGCTAGATGTTTCTGGACAATAACAACATCAAAGTGGTGGCAGCTACTTTCCAGGATTTGTTCAATAGACTAGCACTGGAACCCAAGATACATGGCTAAAGAAATGCATTTGGAAGCAAACCCCTGAGGTGGGCTATGATCTATATGTGCCCACAGAGTATGGGTCTGTCAAGTGAGCATGGCAGTAATAAACAAATTTGTGGAGATGTTACACTGTCACTCTGCTTTCCGCAGCTCCCCAGCAGCCAGCCTGGCACAGACCTGCAGCCGCAGAGCTGGGGGCAGGCAGCATCCCCACAGGGGACCATGCT